ATATATATATTAAGATACTTTAGGTAAGATAATAAATTATTAACATTCACTTTGCAGTAACATTGGCTTTTTATAAAACAGTATTTTTTTACAAATTATTATCAGCAAAATGTTTTGCTTTTAGTGAACAAATATTTAAGAATGTAATGCATTGATTTTCTAGAGAAATGAAACATCATTTCCATGCTTGTTTTTGCGCTTTTTGTGATGCTAGTTTCTTTGTGATGTACGACGAAATTAAAAGCGCTGCCAATACTATCACAATAAGATAATAATCAAAATCTTCTTTCAAAACGTCAAATGTTTTAGACGGTGCCACGCGTGTGTAGAATAAGTCTGCGAACATCGTATTACATGCATAATTGTAATTTTCTAATTTCAGCTCATTATTAATGAGTTAAATATATCAATCTTTCAATTATTGATTAATAATATTAGTATAAAATTGCACCCCAAAGTACTTACCGAGACCGTGTACAAAAACTAAACAAGTACTTTCAAGGCCACTAGGACTAGTATGAATACCGGAAATCCTAAAGACGCTCTGATTATAATTAATTATTGCATCCATATGAATAGGTATCTCTGGCATGTATGGTATCACACCCTCCTCGCGTACTTCGGGATTAATAGGCCGCCGTGGATCTATCATCATCCATGGTAATTCCAATATTCCACCATTAGCTAGGGCCACTAATACACATATATAAAATAATTTATAAAAAAATTAAATTTTTCTATTCATGAATATTAAAGTTTTATTTATCTTTTATGAATAAAAATATATACAAAATGAATCGAATTAACTTCATATACGTACCGATAATGTGTTTGCTTGTGATACCTTTTTCTGTAATAGTTTCCCGCATAGATTCTATTGCAGCTGGAAAAATAAAAGCTTGCCTTTCTACAATAGGCAACTTAGTTGTAGCTAAAGATGAAAACACTGAAACAAGACAATGAATTTATAATGTTTAATGTAAATAAAAACAACGATATAAATCATAAATTATAATTATAGTAAAACGCATGGTGCGAACAGTACCTGTGGTATTACTCTGTATTTTTCCTTCATATAATTCTAAACTAGCAATTTCTGTCCTACGATTTTTTTCGTTAAAATAGCTGTACACTATCCAATTTTCTGAATGCACAATATGTACTGGGCCACGTACTCTTTTGTGCATAATAGAAAATATCATTGCTCCAGATACTACATCCAATAAATACAAATTAAGCGTATCTGTAAGCCGTAGATTATTTTAAAAATAGTTATACATATGATATAAAGATTTAATAATTATTATTATCAAATAGTTATTAAGTATTATTACAAACGTACTTTTATGAGTGTGTCCAACACCCTCAGTTACAATTGTGACTAAATTAGGATTTATATACTTATATAGAACTGATCTATCACTTAGAACTCTACCCTGGGAATGAACACGTTCTATTGGATTTTTCGATACAACGTGTGTTATTCTTTGGTTTTTTGGCGAAAGCAGTAATTCCCATACTTTATGAGAAATAAGTTCCTAAAAGATAAGAAAATGAATATTTGGTTATTAAATGTTAATTAAATAACATATTTAAATAAATTAAATAACATACTTGAGATGTACTATATGATAAAGAGTATCCAGACAATATTCCAGTTGTTTGATCAGTAGTAAATATATATGTATTTTTAGCAATTGATGCAGCAATTGCAGTTGCACCTTTTGGATATACGTGAACTTTATCTCGTATATCAAAAATAAGTATGCCTCGCAGAAAATCATCTGTTGTTACATGAAGTAACATAGATTGTTTTATTTTATAACCTAATTTTACTAAACCATCTAGTGGTTGGCCAGTAATTGGATTAAAAGTATATACAATTCCTTCTCCTGTTTGCTAAAATATTTAAAATCAAATTAGGAATATAATACATTAAACTGATGATATAATTATAATATATATAATTATAATACATACTTTATCCTCGGCTAATAACGCGCATTGTGGTGGATATGGAAAATGCCGGCTACCACGTTGTACGTATAAAATTATTGCATCAGATCTTTTATTAAAACCACGAATACCTCGTACTCTAAGTTGCCAAATAATTTCACCTTTTCTAGTTTCAATACCATATAACTATAAAAATATAAAATAAAGAATTATCACAGAATGAATGATTCAAACACACACACACACACACACACACAAAATATTTGTTAATCAATCAATATAATTATATCCATTTTCATACTTTTCCTGCCGATGTAACAAGAACAATCATTTTATGTAATCCGAATTTATCTCGTACTAAGTCCATGCGTTGATTTGATTGTTGAGGTGTGAGGCTTAATATGGATTGAAGAAATGTCTTCACTTGTTTAAGTTGAGAACCGACTCTTCTAAACATCATGCTCAACACATCCCCTAGATATAACATAAAATTATAAAATATGTCATACAATATTAATATTGTAAATTGTCATTTTGTATTATAGTCATAAAAAAACCAAAGGAACAACAAAGTCTTTTAATTTTAAAATTAACAATCAATTGTAATATCAATAAAAAATATTAATGAAAAATTACAATAAAACATAATTGAATTTACCAATACAATTATTATTATTTTTTTAATCGTTCATGCACAATGTTTCAATATTCTATTTGTAAGTCAAATTAAAATATATCATTGGATTGAAAATGTCTATTCTTGTTAAATTGTAAAGTATATTAAAATAATTTATATTATCATGCAAATAATAATACTATAGAGATCTTAAACAGCAAAGATAAAAATTTACTAGTTCGCATTTAATTAAAAAATAATTTATGTTTTCTTCAGCTTCTAAAGAAAATTAACGTGCGTATAAGACTAATAAATAGCAGGAATAAAGTAAATTTTCAAACTCAGCCTTTGCTGCTCCACTACTTACATGAACTGTCATCAATACCTGCCAGCAGCCATTCACAAAAGAAACGTAATTAATATAATATTTTTTTTTATTACTAATACTAATATTTTTTGTTTAAATTTAATATTACTTTCATACAAGTGTTATATACTTGTATTACATAAAATACTTTTCATCTTACAAATACTTGCATTAAATATAAGAAATGTTTTATGAATTATTTATAACAGATACCTATTTCAAATTTTAACGAATTTTAATGAATTTTTGATGTCGTAATTATCAATATTTATAACATATATTTTTGAATATTTCTTTTAATGATGATGAATAATTCATTATACTTTTACTTATAGCGTTTGCTGTGCCTTAATAAATATGATATAGTACTTACTCTCTTTCTGATCGAATTCTGTTTCTATTTCTTGATCCCTATCTGACATGGGCAATTCTATAATTTCCACTGCTACAATGCTAGCAAGTGCTTCTTCTCTAGCCCATATTAATTTATTATGCTGTAGCAAGGCAACACTGTGATCTTCTGAAGCGAATAAATGACGGCAAGTTACGCCTTTCGTTTGCCGAGGACAAACAGAAGCTATGATTGTTGGTGAGAGCAATGAATTATGTGTTACGCTGATAGATATATTTGGCATAGATTTTGATGTTAAAAGTTCTGAAGCAACAATTTCTGTTACCTAAAATTATACCAAGAAGTTTTTGTGATTGTTTAAAAATAATATTTAAAAATCCTTCGTAATACACGTAAAGCGCAAAATACTTGCCCCATTTTTATATGTTGTTTCTAAAAGTACTTTCTCATTATCAACTGACACAACATAAAGCGTTGCATCTCCTACTATATCCCTTTGAATAGGAACAGGTACTTCCCCAACAAGAAGAATTCGTTTCCGTTGGTTATTATCTGCGCTAATTGATACAATAGGTTCTTCACCTAATACTGATTCTAAATGATATGGACCTTGTGCGCCAGCACCAAATATAGTATTTATTGTAACTGATTGTGGTTGAGAATGTGTATCAAATAAATGTACTAACAACAATACAGCTAACGAACTATCTCCTTTTAAACAAGCTAAATATGGAGCAGCTAGAACACATCTGAAGGATACAAAATTATATTAATTTAATATTTTATTTAAAAAATAATATTTTTAAAGAAGACACAAAGAAAATGAAGTAATTCCTTACTCTGTTTCTTGAGTTATAAATGGTGCTGAGACTCTTCTTGTTTTTAATTTATCTCCTGTTTTACTATCATAAGATGTTACTTCTACGGCACTATTATAAATTGGTAAAATATGATGTAATGTTCCATCTTTTATGTGCCATTTCACATCTTTAATTCTGTATGGGAAAACAATCTTATTAATAATATCAATACAAGTCGTGTAAAATATTGTGTTATCTTTGCTGAAATATAACATTTATAAAAAAGATACGTTAAATATTATTCTGTAATCTCATTGCATTTAAGAATTATTCATATTTTTTTTATAGAAGGTGATAGAATTAAAATATAAAATATTTTTGAATATAAAACAAGATATTTTAGTACATGAAGCTTAAAAAAATCCAGAGTAATTTGTATTAGTTGCTTAATAAATTCATCTTGTTTTAAAGCCAAAAATATTTCATCTTTTATTATATTTTACTTTACAAAATCCTTTACAGATTTCTTTACACTGGAATTAACTGGTAGATGTGTAATAACTTAGAAGTAACACTAAGTGTAACAACATATTGCTGTGAGATATAATCACTTAGTATGTAAAACGATATTATTGATTGTGCATTAAATAAGGATAAAGAAACCTGTTAGCACTGTACAATCCCAGTGTAGAAAAGGATATAAATGGAGAGAAACGTCTGAAAATCAATAATAATAATTATATCTTGTTTCTTACAAGAACACAAGCTTTTTAAATACTATCAAATCAATATATATCAAAACAGTATCAAATCATACATATTTTTACAATATTTAGATTATTTCTGAAAAAGATTAATTATTTAATCTTTTTGTGAATACAGGCTGTTCTACAGGGTAATTTTAATTGTAAATATAGGCTGTTTAATTGAAATATATAATACTGACCTATCATGGTTTTGTTCAGCAATTGGCCATTCATGAAATATATGTCCAGTAGCTAAATCCCATGCACGAACAATAGCTGGTACACCTCCACTCACAGAGACAAGATCTCCATCTGTAACTCCACCTAATGCTCGAATCCGACCGCCATATCCTTTTTCTAATACACGTCTCCATAGTATTTGTCCTAAAGGAAAAATATGCTTTTTTATCTTTTCTAGAATAGATCATGCAGTTCATATGATCATATGACATCACACAATCATACGGAGATACGTTTAATAATAGTAAATTAAAATAAAGTATTATATTTGAAGTGTTGATATTTTACGTCCTAAAATTAATTTATTTTAAATCTTCTTCCTAAAAGCTATTTTCGAAAATTTCCATTGAATATGATGAATTTACATTTGAGCGCATATATAAAACTTGAAAGGTTAAAAAAAACATGCATATTATTACATCTACAAACGCTTTTACGTCAATGTTTATAGCCCACCTGACTTTAGATTTAACGCAGCAATAACATTTTCCTCAGTAGCAACAATTATCTTTTTCGCGGCCGAGACGGTGTCAAAACTGGCGAATTTAATTTTACCGACATAATTCTGTTTCCTGCAAGTACAAGAGCAAATCGTTCATTGAGGAGATGATTCAACGCAACTGATATACTGTCAAATCATGGTAACATGCTATTGCATTATTTAGAAATTCAGTATTGTAATTAACATTTGTTCAAGGAATCCAAACGATTTACCAGTCAAATTTCCCAACTTGATCTTCGTAGAGGCACAGAGATAAATTAAATAGTCCAACTAATATGATAAGATATTGTAATATCTGAACATCAATTAAAAACCGGTGGATGTTTCCTTTAAAACTCCGTACGAACGGAGCCATGACGACCTGTGTGAACGTATCAACCCATCCGCTTACACAAATTCCTTCCACACCTGATATACAACCATTGACAATATAAATAAACGATGGTCATCTCTATGTATTTTTTCATCGCTTCCATACATTTTCTAAATCATTTTTTTCAAAATGGAAAAATCTAAGGAATATTTAGAAAAGCAGTGATCGAACACTCACAGAAATAGAAATTCATTTTTTGTAACGTAGAAAATTATGTAGACAATTATTATCGATAAACAAATTTATCTTTACGATATTACTTATTAAAACATTACTCGTTATTATTCATTAAAATTTAGATTTAAATATATGAACTTTGATATAGATTAATTATGAACAAAATTGTTTTGCATGAGACGATACGATAAAATATAGTTATAGATATTTATCGAATTTTGTTTGTTTAAAGTATTTAATACTAATAGACAATATATAATAAAATAGGTAATAAAATTCTTCAAGAACCTTTGAAAAACAGAAATTTATTTCTTATCAATTTGCATGTTAATTTCTACCTTATTGATAAAGCAAATTTCGATAACGATAACCATTGATTAAAGATAGAAAAGATGTGGCATTCAATAAAAATTGATATCTCAGGTTCTGTAATACCGACTGAGAAAAAGTCAGAGTGTTTCTTACGCCCTCTGCGATGTTGCGGCGGATATAAGAGTTATATTCAACTTGATTTGTTAAAAACGATAAACTCAGTAATTGTAAGATCTTTAATTGCTGAATTTTGAAAAGAAAGTATCGCGTTACGTAATTGAAAATTACTACATAATTCAATAATTCAATTCTAAATTTATAAATGCATAAATATCTGTAATCTAATTCTAATACAATTTCTAAATCTAGAAAGAGAAAGGAAGCATTTTTTTGATCTGGAACAAAAAAGAAAAATTAGTTTCGAACATCAAAATGAAATCACGACCATCGATTAAAATCACACGATTTTATACTGTTTAATAATGTTTATTAATTCAAAAATCTTTTCCTGATTTTGTTCATTTAATAATTTGCAATGAATAAATGATTTATACTTTTGTTTTTATAATATGAATTTTAATTTTATCTTCTGTATTAAAAATTAACGACAATCGTCCAATTTAATAATTTATAATTTATAATCCATTCGATGACTCCATTCGCGTAATTAATTTTCATGCACAAGCTCGTGAAAATATGATAAAAATGTAATATTTATTATTCATACGAAGAGTTAAATTACAGGCATTCTTTGTGCATTTTCATCCAAAAACAAACAATAATGAATTGAATGAATTTTGATTTATGCATAGCAAGTTCGGACAATTGTCAAGTTGAAATCGTTTCCCTCTTCTTTCTTCGACATTATTTTACATTTTTATTTCCCATTTCTATTTTATCCTCTTTTCCTTCGCTCGCCTTGTTTTCTATATATTTTATTTCTCTCTCTCTCTATTTTCTTTCATGTACATGAAATTTTATGACATTGGGATCTTCTTTCCAATGATTCGCATATTCTGAGTTCGCAATCGAATAGTTTACAAACACAAAACTGTTTGCAACTTCACTTCTCAATCATTTCTTTTCCTATCTTTAGAAAATCGACTTCTTAATATCTAACACGGCGTACCATACTTGATTCTATTTAAAAAAAAATTACTTATCTACGTTGCCTTCAATTACAAAAGTCATCAGACTTGATATTCGTGAATGATGCAACAACCCCTTGCTACCTTTCGAAAGACTTTCACTTTTCCCCGGCCTGCGATCTGTTTAACCGGTGCGGCGATTCTTTATCCGCAAGAACAGTGAGGAGGAACATGCCGCCGGAAGAATTTACGTAGCACTTAATCCCACCGCTTAGAGAGCCCGACGGAATCACCCTACTTCGCATTCTTCGCTACCTATTCTTCTCCGCTTCGGGCTCTTTTTTTGCGCCACTCATCATCGTGAACCTCTTCTTACATTCAAACACTTTCACCTGAACTCTTATCCTTAACGAGGCGAGCCCGTGGTCCTGTGTTGCGATGATTTAAGAAGGCGAAACTCGCTTCTTGTAAATTATCGCGCGATCCCACGATCAGTGCTTCGCGAGAAAAGTAAATTGCATATACGTATTGGTTTAACACAATAGAATCGTGTCGTTCCGAGTGAAGAACGTTTGTTATCGATATTTTTATTCTGCTCGATTATATTTGATCGATTGAGATAAAAGTTTCTCGATGTTTTTTTTTTTGTATTTTTCCGCGATCTTTGCATCATCTTTATACTTTTGTAAAATTAATGTTTGTAATCACTACATGATTATTGTAAAATTGTCGTGAACGTGGTAATTTTATAAATATCATCAAAATTGTTGTGCACGTTATTTGAATGAGATTTGGAGAAATCATTCTATCGAAAAACAACGAACTATTTGCTGTTTTAATGCGCTTACAGTATCTCGAAGAAAAATTCTCCTTTCGTAGGAAAATTCCAAAGGATCCTGAATCAGTCGTGAAACCAATCCTTTAATCACCCGCACTAAAATATTATAAGGCGTGTAATTATAGCGACTGTGTCGAAATCCAACGACTAATCTCTTGACCGTAAAAGCGGTTTTATTTACTCATTCGCTTACCCTCACTGGGTACTTTACTTTGCCACTTTCACAGATTTTAATGACAGTTGCGAACCAACTACTGTCGTGAATACATTGTTTCATGACGCGAGTAGTATTTTCTCACATTGTCATCGCCGTAAACTTAATTATTACCCACCCTTAAGGATTATTTTCAACAATTTTATATTGAAGTTTTAGATCACTTAGAAACGTAGAATTACAGTGAAGGGCAAAACTGTACGAATGACAATGGAAAATTGTCGATAACTTTGTAAAACGATCCACGTGGTTTCATTTTAAAGCGTGAAGCTTCTACTTTGACAATCTTGAGATGATTTTACATCATGCAGCGAGTGAAAAAGTGAGGGTACTTGTGAGGGTACTTGTTTCCCGGAAACATTTCTTTCTGATTAATTCTTGAAACTTTCTCTTTACAATTTTTGCTCACTATTTTATTCAACTTTGGTTTAAACGACAAAAATTCAAACAATCTTAATATTTCGTTAGTTCAATAAAATAGTGAAAAGAAAACAGGAGACTTCAATCTTGATAGTGATTCTAGTTATAAAAAGAATTTTTTAATGTTGAGTACCCTCTTAAATTATCGACAATTTTTCCTCAACGTTGATACAGTTACGTAGAGAAGATAGTTCACAGACGTAATTTTCAATTGAGTTCGAGAGATGAAGCCCAAGTTCAAGTAACGCATAAAATGTCTCTCCTTTCGAATCGGATGAACATTCCAATCTTGATTCGCCAGCGTTTACAGCAAGACATTCTCAATCCTTTGACAAAAACATCTGACAGACATGGTTTCAATATCTCGAGCTGTTTTCGCGCGATCGAGCTGGAATGATCCGAAGCTGCGTTCGATGCTCCTCTAATATCTAGCTACTAGATGTTATTTACCGGAAGCGTACTGTTTCCCCCAGAGTGTGTATCGCTCTCGGTGGCCAAAAACGTCCGAGAAATAGAAAGAGAGAGAGAGAGAAAACGAAAGAGGTCGACGTCATGTAGAAATGACACTCGTAATCGAGTTCCCCCTCACGTTGCCAGAAATGAATGAAGCTGGCCGAAGAGAAGAAAATGGGACGTGAGGCTGCTGCGTGAGGTTTCTGCCGGGTAACCTCCGCCAGATGAGATAGGATTGAATGGACGTCGTGAGGGCTAGGAGAGGATAAGGTGCGGAGAGACGAAGGCCGGGGATGCTGACGAAGAAACGAACACACACGTGGGAAAGGGGGTTAGAAACAAAAAGAAGACACGCTTGGAAAAATAGAGAGGACAGGAGGGAAAGAGAGGAGAAATGTGATCCAAAGAGCGAACGAAGAGACAGGGTTGGTATGAAAAAGCGTACCGAACTGAAGGCAAGAAGAAGGGAAAACGGGGATGAAGCTATATGGAAAAAGAGAGAGAGACGGGAGATAAGGCGGGATGGGAAAAATGGACGGAGAGACAGAATGGTGGAGGAAAAAAAATCAGTGGGGAAAGGCGAGCGAGAGACGCGTGAAGGGGTGAAGAGGAAAGAGTTGGTCCGAGGTACACGGGCGATGAGACGAGACCGGATGAGATGAGATGATAGTGTTGCATGTAGCGCGTGCGCGTACCGACTCAATAAACATCCGTAGAAGCCTCGGTAAGACCCTGGCCTGCGCTCTGGATTACCGCCGCTACTTTCCTTTATTTTCCGGGATGCAATGCCTCCCTCTTTCGACCCATCTTTACCGTGGACTCTCTCTCTCTCTCTCTGCCCCGTCGGGAAAGAGACGCGAGACTTGTCATTCTTTACGTACTTCTTCCATTCCCTCGTCCCCCGCGGTTAGATCAACGTGGTGAACTCTGTTTGATAGACGATGAATCCTGTGACCTATTTATTTTTTCTTTTTTCTTTCTTTTTTTTTTTTTTTTTTTTTTTTTTTTT